TTTCTTAACGGATTGAAAAAGCCCTACTCTTAAGTTTTTATACCCTACACCACATGTTGGTAAGGGTATAATGTCTTTGTGCATTTGTTTGTAAAACGGAGAAGCAAGCGAGCTAGATCCATAGTTACTTTTTGAGGGTATTCATAGAATCACTTTGTGGGTCGATTTATGGATGTCATCCGTCTGTCCATGTATTCTTGTGAATAAAATACAGGTCCCATTTATTATCCGATTGAGATGAAAGTTTCCAAACAATATGTGTTTGGCCCAAGGACGAACCCTATTGAAATTGGTGAGGAGCGGTTCAAATTTAGATTCCGGATTATTTGTGCACTAAATAGCCAATATTAGTCCAAATGACCTGAATTTTGGCACATCCGACCGAATTCAGTCTGGAAACAAGTACATTAAATTTAGTGAACATTGGTTCAGATATAGCTAAAGCTTCCAAATACAGGATGAGGGGAAATACTGCAACCAATTTCAGACTGCTGTCAAAATTATTCCAGTGACAGCTCATTATATTGTTTACAAGCGTACAAAAGCATTTTGGTGAGAATTTTCCAGAAAAAAAATTATTCGTGTTGGAATTCATGCGTGATAGTGTGATTTCTTTATATTTGGTTGGAAAACCACAAGTGGCTATCTGTAGGTTACTCCAGCATTTAAATATGAATAAATTCTTTGTGTCTCGTACCATCGCTCGTTACCGTCATAACGTATCGAGGTAGCGTAGCCCGACGTCAATAAAGTGGACGGAAGAAAACAGCAACATCAGCAGAAATGGTTCGAAAAGTAAAGAAGCGACTTGATCGAAACCCGCGTCGCAGTGGCCGAAAAATGGCTCGTAAGCTGAACATATCGTAATATTCCATTCGGCAAATATTGAAAAATTAGCTCGGGGTAAAGCAATTGCTGTTCCAAAAAGTGCAAGAACTTACACCGCAACAGAAAGAAAATAGACTCAAAAGATCTAAAGAGTTGCTTCGCTTGGCCGAAAGTGGTGAACTGCCAAATTTGGTTTTCTCCGCTCCGATGAGAAAACGTTCGTTGTCTAGCAGTTTGTAAACAAACAAAATGATCGTCATTGCTTGCCAAAGACGTCAGCTGAAAATGTGCACATTCGGTGGGGCACCAGAACTCAAGCGCGGGCCATGGTGATGGTGTGGGCCGCCATAACAGCCGATGGTCGCTCTCCGCTTGTATTAATCGGCCGTGGTATCAAAATAAATGCCGAATATTATCGCGAAAATATGCTGGAGGGTGTATTAAAGCCTTGGACACGCAAACATTTTGGCCTCAGACCTTGAACATTCCAACAGGACTCAGCACCATCGCACTCAGCACGCGCCACCCAAGAATGGTTACAAAATGAGGTTCATTGCTTCATTTCCAGCGTACAATGGTGTCTGGAGTATTTTGGAAAGCAAGGTAGGCACTAAAACATGCCAAAGTGTCGATCAGCTCAAGCAAGCGCTCCGCCAGGAATGGGCCAAAATACCGTATAGCAATATGCGGGCAGCGTGTGACGGTTTCATTGGCCGTTTGAAGGCCATAATTCGTGCCAAAGGTGACCAATTCGAACATATCTAAACTTATTTTAAAATTTGATGCTATTTTCTACACCTTTTGCTTCCATTCAATAAAATTAAAAAAAAAAGAAACAAGTGAAAAAGCTGTAAATTCAGCCGGGGCGAACTTTGAATACCCTCCACCTTTTGTTACAAATTTGGCATTTTTCAAAAAAAAAAAAAATAAAATCTGTTAAAAATTCTGTTAAAATCTTAAAAATACCGAATGTAGCCGTATATTAGGGTCTGTACGACGACGTGGACCTGCATAGGCAACTTTTGTTACAATATTCAAATGCGAAACTTGAAAAAAAAATCTGTTTATAACTAAAATCATTAAAATTCCGAATAAAGGGAGGAACCACGGGAGTTGTAAAACGTGGACCTGCACAGACAATTTTTTGTCATAGGCTGTAGTATCCATTACGAACTTCAAATGCGAAATAATGTCACTAAAATCATCAGAATACCGAATATCGGGGGGTGCTGTTATATGGGGGCTATACGAAGAAGTGGACCTATATGGTCCATTTTCAATACCAAAGGTCCGGCAGACATAATACACATTTGAGTTAAATTGTATCAACCTACTTCATTTCGTTCGGAAGCTAGAGTGATTTCCACAGACGGATAGACGGACGGACATTGATAAATCGACAGAGAATTTTATGCTGATCAAGAATATATATACTTAGTGGGGTCTAAAATATATATTTCGAGGTGTTACAAACGGAATGACAATCTTAATATACCCTCCATACTATGGTGGAGGGTATAAAAATTATGGCGTTCGACTTTGTTGCAGTTTTTTTTTTTTTAATCTCATGCTGTAAATGTTCGATTTTCTTTTAATTTTCTGTATTTGATGAGGCATAAAAATGGAATATCTGGTACGAAGGAGCCTACTATATAGAGGGTCAACAATTTGGATAGTCATATCAGAAGACAAATTATATTTAAATAATCTAACATTGGCTGAGGATATACATCTGTCGACTGGAACTTTTTAACTTCAATTATTTATTATCAAAATGTTGACCCTTTTGTGGGAGAGGTACCAGAAGGGGTGGATCGATACATTCCATCTTCACGCCTGGTCTTGTGTTAATAGAAATATTGATATGTGTGAGAATCGATGAAATAAGCATCAAACTAAAAAATATATAATTATTAAAAATTTTGACCCTTTGTGGGTCAATATTGTCCATTTTCGCACTTGACACAGCACAATAAAAATATTGGGCTTTGCAAAATTTAAGCAAAATTGGATGATTCGATCTTATTATTCTTATTCGCTCTTATTATTCGTATTATTTTTTGTGAGGAAGGTACCAGAAGGAGTGAATATTGTCCATCTCCGAACTCGATCTAAGTTTGACAATAATATTATGATGTACCAAGTTTAAATCAAATCGGATGCTCCCTTCGTGAGTTATCGTGAGCACCAACCAGACAGACAGATCGACTCTAAATGTCCTGAAACGGATTTGGTCCAAAGAGGGACACGTTTTTTGGCATATACCATCTGCATCCATATAGCTGTGCATATAATGACTTTTTTAAGGTACATCGTTAATTGCACCATTCATTATGTGTTTTCGCAAATGACCTTCCTTTGCATACCACCCTCCTATTTTTTCCGGGGTAATCATTATTTAGTCAATATTATTTACTTGCCTTAATTTATTTCGCTAATGTGTGGCCACAGCACAGAGGCTCATTGAATTTACTGCTGATGCTGCCTTTGGCTCTGTCAAATGGGAATCTGAAGATGTTCCTGAGCGGCTGATGATGATGGTAGCCACCGAGTGACTGACTGACTGGATTGCTGCCCGGCTGGTTAAAGGAGAAAGTTAACGGCTGAACTGCTATAACTGTTGTTGGCTTGTTATTTTCACTTTTACTTGGCCTCCATGGATGACACCAAAATGTTTGTTGTTGTTGTTGCTGCTGTTGTGGATAAAGTCATTGCAGGCTGTTGTATCACCGCTGTTTTCGTTATTTGTTATTGTTGCTTTAATGGAAAGGTCACGATTTGTCATCAAGCCAAGACACTGGTGCGATAAGAGAGCCATCCAAATGTTATGTTTGTTTTTCCTCCTTTTTTTGCATCGGAGATGTGGAGTCAGCCAGGAAGAAAGTCTTAGTTCAAATGCAAAGTAAGCAGGATTAGGGTAACGTTCCACTATCGCCAATCTGCCACAGCCAATGTTCCTCGTAATGGTGTTGGAGGTCTCCGCCGCCTCCTACTGCCAGGTAATTGAATAACACTCGTCGTGTGGTGTTTGGGTGGATGTTTTTGGTATGTGGGTTGCTGTTGCTTTGTTTGCTCTGGCTTTGGCTATGATGAAATCGATAGCGCCTGTAATGGGTTGGCCATGATTTTGTTGTTGTTGTCGGTTTTTCGTTTCTTCCTGGCATTTATTTGGTTTGGTTTTGTTCCACCTTTTTTTTTGGGGGTATTTTTTGTGGGCTATATCGGATGTAATCATCATCTGTTTAATGTCTAAGCTATGATGTATAGGAGAGTCATTTTTTTGCAAAGCAATTATGTGGCTGTGTGTTTGATGTGAGACAAAAAAAAACGGTAATGGAATGTGCAGCTAATTAGGTGGGAGGTTATAATGGGAAACGGTAGCTTAATAGCATTTGCAACAGCAAATAATTAAATCACGAATTTTGTAATGACTGGTTTTTCCACGTGGAAGGGGAGATCCTTGACTAAAAGTGTAAATCGGGGTGGCTAGAGCTAATTCGACCATTATTCGACCAAGAAATACATAATTAATTCATCTTCCAATAACAATTACCTATTTCCTTTCCTTTTCAGTTTTTTCAATTCTTGTGACCAGTGAAAAGTCCAGACCAGTTGCCCAGCTATGGCTACATCTATACTCACCGATTGTAGCAGCTTCCAGGGCTCTACAACCAGTTCTTCCAGTGACATGATGACGGGCAGCACAACTGCGGCCTCCTCGTGGTGTGCTATACCAACCTCAACGCGGATACGTTTGGTGCGCCTCTTTCGTCCACACACACGACGTGTGTTGGTAACGCCCGGTGCCACGCCTTCTTATGGTTTCTCGGTAAGAGGTGGCAAAGAATATAACACGGGATTTTTTGTGTCCAACGTGGATCGCAACAGCGAAGCTGAACAGAAGGGATTAAGGGTAAGTGAAAAATGATATTTTCCATGCAGATTTTTTCAAGGACCATTAGGATTTTTTTTCAAGGACAAAGGAAATGAAACAAATAAAAAATTAACAAATTTTAATAACCTTCCTCCTTTGGAAGACACTTTAAAATTTTCAAAAAACTAAAAAATCCGCCGAAAAATAAAGCTTAAATAAAACCGTTAAATGTGGGTTATACGAAGACGTGGACCTGCATAATGATTTTTTATCGTAGGCTTTAGTACCGATTCTAAACTTCATATACGAAATTTGAACTTCATATCCGAAATTTAAATATTGTCGTTGCAGGCTTAGAAAGTCTATCGAAAATGGTCTGCTGGTCCTTGAAAAATTAGCTTATAAAAATCATCGAAAGTATATTCCATAGATCCTCAAGAAAAGTCATTTTTAAAAATCCACGTTTCAGGCTTGAATAGTCCTCGAAAGGATGTTCCGTGGATCCTTGAGAAAGGAAAAAAATTTCGCTCAAATCATCAAGATTTCGAATATTGGGAGGTACCCATATATGTGGGCTATACGAACACGTGGACCTGCATATGTCATTTTTTGTCATAGGTTGTAGAACCCATTAAGATCTTCAAATCCGAAATTTGAAACAATTCTTGTAAATAATGTCGGTAAAATCATCGAAATTCCGAATATCAGGAGGTATCGTTATATGTGGGCTATACGAAGCGTGGGCGATTTTTTGTTATAGGTTGTAGAACCCATTAAGATCTCAAAATCCGAAATTTGAAACAATCCTAGTAAATAATTTCGCTTAAATCATAAAAATTGCGAATATCAGGAGGTATCGTTATATGGGGGCTCTACGAAAACTTGGATCTGCATACCCATCACGATTCGAAGTACTATAGAAACATTTTCGGTCGATAATTTCTGTAAAATCGTTAAAATGCCGAATATTGGGTTAAATACGGGAAATACGAAAACGTGGACCGACATGGCTCATTTACGAACGTAACCTTGCTACTGGCAAAATACACATGTGTGCAAAATGTTAGCCGTCTATCGTATTTTGTTCTAAAGATAGCACAGACGGATATCGCTAAGTTGACTCAGAATTTTTCGCTGTAGCCATATACGGAGGATATATATTATTTGATACGGCCAAAAACGTGCCTTATCTAAATAACGTTTTTATACAATAGGTCTCTTTTTGGACCAAATCCGATCTAGTCGATCTAGGGGTGTCCGGCCGTCCGTTTGTCTGGCTGATGCGCACGATAACTCTCGAAGGGAGTATTCGATTTTGACCAGACTTGGTACATCGTAACATTATTATCAAACTTAGATCGAGTTCGGAGAGGGACCACTCCTTCTGGTATCTCCCTCACAAAATGTCAATAAATAAAGGAAAATAATTTACCTCATAGGAGTCATCTGATTTTGTGTAAACATTGCAAATCCGAACAATGTTGTCAGTGTTAGGTCAGGTGCGAAAATAGAAAATATAGGCCCACTCCATCAAGTACCTCCCCCTCAAGGGGTCAAAACTTTGGATAATTGTTAATCTTTTAAGATACGAAGTAAGCATTCGATTCTCTTCAAATGTCATACATCCCAATAATTCTAATAAAAAAAGACCTGGTGTGAAGATGGAATCTTTCGGTACATTCCTTCTGGTACCTCCCCACAAAGAGGTTAAAATTTTGATTAACTTGGATGTTCATAAAACGTGAAATGAACAACCGATTACTCGGCGAAAACTCGGCCCAATCTAATATATCTACCAATACAATATCAGAAGTGAACATAGGAGATATCGGCCTACTCCATCAAGTACATCCCCCACAAAGGGTCCACAATTTTCAATAATTATATCTTTCATAAAATGCAAAATATTCCAAAAAAAAAAAATCAAATTTTAAATATTCTAATATTTTTATTAACACACAACCTGGTGTGAAAATGGAGTATGTCCGATCGTTCCTTCTGGTACCTCCCCTCAAAAATTTGGAATAATTATAAATCTCATAAATTATGAAATAAGAGTCCGATTGCCTTCAAATCTCACGCATCCTAATATATTAATTAACAAAAATATCTGGTGTGAAGGTGCGATATATATTGGATCACTTCTTCTGGTACCTCCCTCTCATCGGGTCAAAATTTTGAAAAGCCATAAAGCTCATAGACTGCGAAATGAGCATCCGATTGTTTTCAAACTTGGTACATCCCAATATTTATGTCAACAAATAATCAAGTGTGAATATGGAATATATCGGTCCACTCGTTCTGGTACCTCCCCCACAACGGGTCAAAATTTGAAATAATTATATCTCTTTTAAAAAGCAAATTCTCTTCAAATTGCACATGTCGCAATATTTTTTATAACACCAGATCTGGTGTAAAGACGGGATATATCGGTCGCCTCCTTCTGGTACCTCCCTCACAAAAGGGTTCAACATTTTCAAGAACTAGAAAGCTCATAAAGAGGGAAATGGTCATCCGAATATTTTTAAACATGACAGATCTCAATATTTCCATCGACGTATAATCTGAAGCGAAGACGGGGGAGGCCCACTCCTTCTGGTACCTCCCCCACAAAGGGGTTACAATTTTAAATAGCCAAAACGCTCATAGAATGGGAAATATGCATTAAATTTTCCTCGAATTTTACAAATCCCAATATTTCTACTAACGCAAGATCTGGTGTGAAATGTATATGTATCGGACCACCCTTCCCACCTCTCCCACAAAGTGGTCACTGTTTTCAATACTCTCATAATCAATTTCTCATAACAAACCAGGAAAGAAAGTCTTAAAGACGGGCGGGGCCGACTTTATGATACCCAACAACACCATGCTAATTTATTAAAGCTCCGCATAACTATTAAAAGTTTTTTATGGGAGAATTCCATCATACACGTTCAAAGTACTAAATATGCCGATCTCGATAAAATTTAGCAAAGGTGTTTCTGAGCTGCATTTAATATATTTCCCCAAATCGGATGAACAATAAATATGGGAGCTATAGCTATATCTGAACCGATTTCGATCAAATTTGGCATACTTATTTTTAGGCCTAATTTGGTTTGGTATGTGCAAAATTCCATACTATTCGGGTTGATATTACACGTTTGGTGCACAATAAAAAGCAAATCGGACGAAGATATTATGGGCGCTATATCTAAATTTTGACCGATTATCTCCAATTTAAATAGGGTTCGTCCTTGGGCCGAGCAACTGATTTGTCCAAAATTTCATCTGGATCGCGCAATAAATGTGAACTGTACTTTGTTTACAAAAATACATGGACAGACGGACGGACAGACGGACGGACATGCATAAATTGACCCAGAATGTGATTCTATGCAGATAATCAAAAGGAACTATGGGTCTATCTCGTTTCCTTTTGCCTATTACAAACAAATGAACAAATACATAATATCCTGACCACCTTGTGGTGTAGGGTATAAAAAAGTCGGGGATTCTTTTCAATCTTGGTATATCTAAATATTTCTCTCAACCAGAGATCCGGAGTGAATATGGAAGAAGGTATAAATTTTGAAGATATATCTCATATAAATTAAAGGAACTAGTCGATATAGTCAAAATATGGCACGTTGTAATATTTATATCAGGCTAAGGTCTGATCCGAAATGGACAATATTGGCCGACTCCTTCGGATCCATCCCTACATATATTTAAATATACAACATAAGCTGTAGGTATACATCTGACGACAGAACCGACTGATAATGTTTAACTTTTTTTAACTCTGCTCTCATAATTTGCTAGATTTTTCCTGCAATTATTTTTTTATGTTGCACAGTGTTATTATTTGGTAAAAATTCAATAGCGAACCCAATGTTTGATATTAAAACATTCAATCCTCCCACCAGTAAATCTTCAAATCGAACAGTGAAAGTGTTTTTGTTGTACTTGAGTGTTCTATTTACGTGTTGGCTTAAATGTGTTCCATTTCCAAAATTATTGTTTTCCCTCTTGAACCCACATAAAAATTCGAATTGGTAATGAGGTGACATGTTTGAAGAGTTTTGAGTATGTGTTTGTTTGGCTCAACTTGCCACCAGTCAAAAATGTTAAGTTTTCACTTTAGCACTTTGGCATAATATGATAGATTTCTTTTGGTCTGCTACTTCTTCAAGAGAACCCTCATCATGACCTTTTATGGGAGAGTCATTCACGTAGCGTCATAACACCGCCCGCTAGTCCCCCACATTCTTGGCATATTACTGTGACGCTTCAACTCCGACTGACGCATATCTGTGGCGGCCACACATGAATTTTAATTAGCAGACAACATTGTTCGATTCGGACACCTCTCGAATTTTATTTTAACATTCATGTTGGGTTTTGTTTACAATTTTCTTTTATTTTTTTTAGTGCTGAAATGTGGGTCAGTTTTTTTGAAATTAGTGATTCATTGATGTTTTATTCTAGTCTGAATGTGTGTCACCGGGTTATTTTCATCTTCAATTAGATTTGGTTCGAAAATGAAAAAAAAAACTGAAATTGATTTTTATTTTCATTTTAAAAAATCTGATCAAAGAAGTCCGATAAAAAAAAAAAACTGTAATAAATAAATATGTCAAAAATAAAAAATAATTGACTTTTCTTATTTCAGATTGGCGATCAAATATTGCGTATCAATGGATTTCGAATCGATGATGCCATTCACAAGGAATTCTGCCAACTTGTTACTAGTCAAGATCGTTTGGTACTGAAAGTGCGCAGTGTGGGCATGTTGCCATCGAAAGAGTAAGTATTTTGAGAATTGAATGAATGAATTGAGTTTTTCTGAATAGAATTTTACCTGGGGAAACTCGAATCTAGCCGGGATGAATGTGGAGGGAACCTTGATTTCAGGCTGTAAGAGTAGAGTTTCCCATAAGGGAATTTTTTAAGCGGAATGAATAGAGATTCCCAAATGGAAAATTTTATAAATAAATAAATAGAATTTCCCATATGGGAAACATGAAATCAGGCGGGATGAATGGAGTTTTCCATATGGGAAGGTTTATTCCAGCCTGGCTCAATATGAATTTCCAAGGAAAAACTTCTATTCAGTCTTTACCCGACTGGTTTTCTGTGGGAAAATATAATTTCCCGTTTTTATGCCCTCAGCCATATGGCTACATCATCCGTTTTAGGACATTTGGAGTCGATCTAACGATGCCCGTCCGTCTGTCTGGCTGGCTGGTGCTCAAGATAACTCTCGAAGAGAGCATCCTATTTGATTCAAACTTGGTACATCGTAATATAATTATCAAACTTAGATCGAGCTCGGAGATGGGCAATATCGGTCCACTTTTTGTGGTACCTCCCCCTCAAAAAAATATTTACTGCACAGAAAGAGAAAGGATGATCCGATTTTGCTCCAAATTTGCATAACTCAATATTTTTGTTAATGCTAGGTCAGGTGCGAAAAGGAACCATATCCGTCCACTCCTTCTGGTACCTCCCCCACAAAGGGTCAAAAATTTTGAATATCCATGAAGCTCATAAAACGCGAAAATAACATCCGATTCCATTAAGACTTGGTATATTTCAATTTTCCAATCAGCACATAATCTGTTATGAAAATAGTGGAGATCGAACAATTCCTTTTGGTACTTCCCCCACAAAGGGTCGATGTTTTGAATAACCAAAACGATCATAAAATCCGAAATAAGCATCAGGTTCTCTTCATATTTCACACATTTCATTATTTCAATTAACAGAAGGTCTGGTGTGAAGATGGAATATATGGGCCCACTCCTTCTGGTACCTACCCCGCAGAGGGTCAAAATTTTGAATATCTATGAAGCTCATAAAACGCGAAATTAACATCCGATTCCATTCTGACTTGGTACATCTCAATATTTCCATCAACACTAGATCTGTTATAAAGATGGTAGAGATCCGATCATTTCTTCTGGAACCTTCCCCACAAAGGGTCAAAGTTTTGAATAACCAAAACGATCCTAAAATCCGAAATAAGCTTCCGGTTCTCCTTATATTTCACAAATCTGACCCCACAAAGGGTAAAAGTTTTGAATAACCAAAACGATCCTAAAATCCGAAATAAGCTTCCGGTTCTCCTTATATTTCACAAATCTGATTATTTCTAGTAGTACAAAATCTGCTGTGAAAATGGGATATTTCGGTACACTGCTTGTGGTACCTCCCCCACAAAGGGTCAAAATTTTGAATATTCAAGAAGCTCATAAAACGCAGAATTAACATCCGATTCCATTCAAACTTGGTTCATCTCATATTTTATATAAATATTGTAGAGGTTGGACCATTTTTTGTGGTACCTCCGCACATAGGTTTCACTAATTCAAAAAAAAAAAAAAAAAAAGAACTGTTATAACAGATGTCAAAATATATTTAAATAATCGAACATCGTCTGAGGGTATAGATCTGTCGGCAATACTGATTGATACGTTTCAAATTATTACCTTTTCTTATAAACATTTTTATTTTATATCTCTGCAGAACGGATTCCGATAATCTCTCCTGGAATGTGGTGAAAATTCCCAGCATTAGTAGTACCCCATCCGAATGCTCTTTCCAATCGAGTGCCAGTACAGATCATTCCATGCTGCGCAATCGCAATGAACGAGTCGTAAATATTGTCCTCAATGTGGCGCCACGTACCAAACTTGGCTTGGGTATATGCAAGGGACCCGAATGGAAACCTGGGATTTTCGTACAATTCACCAAGGAGAAAAGTGTGGCAAGAGAGGCAGGACTACGACCCGGAGATCAAATTTTAACTGTCAACAGCATTGATTTCTCCGATGTCCTGTTCAGTGAGGCGGTGGCCGTTATGAAAAGCTCCAATAAATTAGATATGACCGTACACAAGGGTGCCGGATGTGATCTTTTCCCTGGGGAGTCAAGTGGTTACAACAGTTCTGCCAGCTCTGTGACCGGTGATCAAAGTCCCTGTTGGGGTGATGTCAAATCGAAACGTTTGACTTCGGTAAGAGAAGAAACAAATGTGACACCACCATCACCAAACCATAGCTCGACGATGGCAAAACCCAACATTTGGAATCAGGGTCTATACGAAAATGAACCCCGATCAAGATCCAAATCGAATGCAGAACGTTGCATGAAATCCATGGTCATTGATTCCAATGCCCCGGATGGTACCATGAAAAATTCCTCGAAATCTCATAAGGAGATAAATAAAACAATTATCAAGCTCTCCGAGAGTGGTACATCCATGAACAACACCTATGTGGCCACCAATCAAACAACATCACATGGGATCAAGGCGGATCCCATGTGTCACAGTTCCTTGACAAGTGGCTACAGTGAAAGTGTGTCCAGCAATGACAATGATTACAATGTTGCCACACTGACAAAGAACAATCAATCAGCTGGGGATAGCAAGAGTACCATACCACCAGTTCCACCACCAATTGCCATACATAATTCTAATGCGCCTAAAAGTATGCACAGCACACTGAACAGCCATCAAACACCCACATTTAAGGATTCCAACATTAAATTGGGTGGCCTGGCCTCGACCATGCAAAGATATGCCACCCTGGCAAATTATGTGGCCATAAATGATTTACCCAATTCCTGCTCCTCCTCCCCCTCCTCCTCAAAACCCAGTGGAGACAACGAACGTGAAACAACATTACCTTCGGGATCAAACACTCTTAACGACAACTGCAGTCTATCAAATGCCATTACCGAGGAATTAAAGAAACGAAGAGCGGTAAGAATTTTTCAGTTAATTTTTTCTGTTCAAATAATAGTTTTTTATTTTGAATTTAGAAACGCCAACCGAATTGTCAGCCCTCACAGCGCAGTGATGGCTTGAACAACAATTCCACCAGCGTCGCTGGGGAGCAAAAATCTTCCCCGAAGAGCCATAATTCTCACATTGCCACTGATGACCAACACAGTGCTCTCATGAATGAGTTTAAGCAGGCTCATAAACGCATGTTCCGAAATGGCTTCAAGGATTCGGAGTCTTCTGAAAATCAAGTGAGTATGGTTAGGTTATTTGCTTGTCAAAAAATATAAACAGAAACATTAGATGGTTCGTCAATCAAATTAAATTAATAAGGAAAGAACAAAGTCGAACAAAGCTAACCATTTCACCAAAACACAAATTTTAAGGCGACAGGATTGGAAAGTATGGCCAAACTCCTCGAAAAAAAATAAGCGTGAACGTATATCGAACATTTTTCGATAGTAGCATTTCGACATAAAGATAATTCAAAATACCATAATTTTCATAATACCAAAATATGACTAAAAAGTAAAAAAAAAACAAGTAAAATAGTATCAGTCGGTTTTGCCGACAGATGTATACCCCCAGCCTTGAGTTATGAACGTGACAGATTTGGACTATATCGGCTACTTCTTGTACTTTATATGAGATAGGTGCATATTTTCGGAAATATGCGTCAGGTAACAAATATAGCGGGCCGAAGTATTCCATTTTCATACTTCATCTAATACAGATAAAATATATTGTGCAAAATTTGAAGGAAATTGAACATTCGTATCGAATTTTATGCGATATCATAAATTCCGACAATCATAAATTCCGACATATTCATATCAGAATACTGGTTTAGAGAAATATTTAGATATAGCAAATTGTTAAGAATCACCGACTTGTTTCGCAAGTTATGACAATTATAAGTTGGCAGATCTTGTGTTGATGAAAATATTGAGAAGCTCCAAGTCTGAATAGAATCGGATGTTAATTTTGCGTTTTATGAGCTTCGTGAATACTCAAAATGTTTATCCTTTGTGGGGGAGGTACCAGAAGGAGTGGACCGATATATCCCATCTTCATACCAGATCTTGAGTTAGTAGAAATAATGGGACGTGTGTAATATGAAGAGAACCGGATGTTTATTTCGGATTCTTTCCTCGTTTTGATTATTCAAAACTGTCATCCTTTGTGTGGGATGTACCAGAACGAATGGTCCGATTTCTACCATCTTTATAAAAGATCTTGCGTTTATAAAAATATTGAGACGTGCTAATTCTGAATGTAATCGGTTGTTAATTTAGTGTTTTAAGAGCTTGATGGATATTCAAAATTTCGACCTTTTGTTGTTGTTGTTGTAGCAGTAGTACATGTGTGTGTTTGTGTTCTGCTAATCTGGTTCCAGCTCCAGGTTTAGAAATTCGGCTACTTTAACGGGCTGTAGCCAGAGATCCTCTGGAGTGAGTTGGGTAGGTTTGGCTGAGCAATTAAAAAGGTGTAGCGTATTGTGCGGGCCTGTATCACACGCCGGGCAGGCGTCACGCACATCTTCATCAATTCGTGCCCAATACGAATTGAGGCGACTACACCATCCTGAACGTAATTGCGCCAAAACTACCCTGGTTTGTCTAGGCAGCTGACGTTCTTCGGCTGCAATGGATGGGGGGTGGACTCCGAGGACGGCATTCACTTTATAACTGCTAATAGCATCCGCGACTGCATCGGTGTGAATGCCACTCAGACCTGCCTGATAGGCTTCTTGATCTAGAGGCTCTCTCTTGTAGCGCTGGACCTCCCTCTCTAGATCATGTATGTCCTTCCTGACACGCCTGGGTGGGGGAGAGTTATCCACCATATGATGGTTGGGATGGCTCTCACGGTAACACCCAAGCAGGTACTGCAACGAAAGCATATGATTATGCTGACGTAAGGGAAGGACTTTCGCCTCCTCATGTAGATGGTCCACTGGTGTCATGAGGAGGCACCCTGTCGCAGTTCTCAGGGCAGCGTTCTGGCAGGTCTGGATATTCTTCCACTGCGTAGCACTAGTATTCGCAGACCACACTGGAGCCGCATAGTTGACCACAGACCGACCTATCGCGTTATAAGAGGTCAACAAGGTTTCTTTGTCCGCACCCCAAGAGCTGCCGGCTAGCGCCTTGAGGACCTTGTTCCTACTTTTCATCTTGTCGCAGATAGCTGTGGCTTGCGCGGACGACTTGAACATGCTGTCGAACGTTACCCCAAGAATCTTGGGGTAGTTCGTGGTCGGTATTAAATTCCCCTCGACCTGAACATTCAGCTGTGTTCTCATCTCCGCAGACCATGTGGTAAAGAGTGTGGCCGTTGATTTCGTGGCGGATATTTTCATATTCCTCGCGTGGAAGTATGCGGCAAGCTCCGCGAGATAGGGGTTCAACCTTTCGCATATGTCATCGACCACTGGACCCGACGCCATGATCGTACAATCATCCGCATACGTTACGATCTCAATGCCGTCTGGAGGGCGAGGAATTCCGGAAAGGTAGAGGTTAAACAGTTCCGGAGATATCACCCCACCTTGGGGAACTCCCTGTTTCACTCTACGGGCTTTGGACTTCTTGTTCCGGAATTCCACGTACGACTGGCGTCCACACATATAGTTGATTATCCAACGTTTCAAACTTGGCCGGAGGGTAGTTCTCTGTACGTCCTCAAACAGTGTGGCATGATTGACCGTATCAAATGCCTTTGATAGGTCAAGGGCTACCAACACTGTTCTGTCACACGGCCTGTTCTGGTTTAGTCCTCTACTAATATGTGTGGAAATGGCGTGTAATGCTGTTGTGGTACTATGTTGTGGACGGAATCCGTGCTGGTGGTTGGCAACTGCATAGCTTCCTCTAATGCTGGGGAGGAGTAAAGCCTCAAGAGTCTTTGCTACTGGCGACAAGAGCGAAATCGGCCTGTACGATTCGCCTTTACTGGCATCCTTGCCTGGCTTCAGTAGCGGGACCACCCGGCCCATTTTCCAGGTTTCGGGCACTATGTGGGTGGCTAGCGACAAATTGAGAACTTTCGTTAAGTACTCGACTCCCGGCGTATCCAGCTGCTTCAACATTACCATTGAGATTCCGTCCGGGCCCAACGCTTTGGATGACTTAGCGTTACGGATGACATTTGCAACATCACCCATCGTAAACTGTGGTGGTTCCTCCTCGGCGGGAAGAGATCTGATACGACGTAGTACTCTTCGCTTCGCCCTATCACTCTCGGGGTGCTCGACAAATTGTCGGTTAAAATATTCCGCGCACCTCTTCGGATCAGTCACCGTTACGTCGTTAAAAGTGACTGAGGTCCTATCATCCTTTTTTCCAGGGATCGAGAGCGACTTAACCGTTACCCACAGCTTACTCATATCGGTTCCAATGTTGCAGCACTTCAGATGGTCTAGCCACTTTTTCCTCTTATGCTCCTGTACCAACCGGTTGACTTCCACTGTCAAATCACTGATTCTAGGATCAGTAGGGTTGGTACGACGGAGATCATCACGCTCGTTTGCTAATCCCGCTGCCTCTGCTGGGAAGTTTGGTCTTATCTCGGGTATTCGACCAGCAGGTATATAGCGAGCGGCTGCAGCTCTGATGATGTTTCGGAAAATCCTTTCTGCTACCCGAACATCAGATGGGTTGGGCAGTTCTCTGAAGCGGCGGTTGGTGAATTCTCTGAACTCTGGCCAGTGAGCTTTCCCATGGTTAAGGAAAGTGCGGCGTTCAGAGGTTATGAAATCGGGCGACCTGCTTATGGAGACGATTATCGGGAGATGGTCTGAGCCAAGAGAAATGACGGGTTGCCAAGTCACGTCATTTATCAGACCGGGTGACACTATGGTTAAGTCTGGCGAACTGTGACACTCTCCTCTTATTCGGGTGGGGGCATCCTCGTTAACCGTGCAGAATGTGGAGCAGTCAATCTGCTCTGCCAGCGCTGATCCCCTCTGGTCATTACCTAGGACGGAATGCCACAACTCATGGTGGGCATTAAAATCCCCTAGTACCAGGCGGTTATTGCCTACCAATAATGGGCTAATATCAGGCAAATAACGTGGTTCACAGCTATTAATCGGCGGGATATACACATTAAGCACCTCTACCTCGGCAGTTCCACACTTGACTGCTACCCCCATACATTCCATGTATGGGTCACTAGAGACTAGCTCAAGCGAGATAGGTCTGTACTGAACAGAATGGTGTAACAGGAACGCTAATCCCCCACCTCCACTTCTGGTGCGATCCTTCCTTAGTACGTTGTAACCATAACAACGTTGTAGGCTGCAATTTTCATTCAGCTTGGTTTCCTGCACCGCTGCGATCTTAATATTCCTCCGACTCATAAATTCCACTATCTCATCTATTTTTCCTCGAAGTCCGTTGCAATTGAATTGCAAGAATGATGCACAATCCGGAGTTGGAACAGCAACATGTGGCGTTAGGTGCTGCGGTGTTGGTTGCTGTTCTGGAGACTGCGGTGGAGTGCCATACTCCGACAACGTCTCTGACGAGGACGACGAAGAAGAGGACTCGCTGGGGACTACGTTACTGCAGCAAGTCGCAACATAATCCCTTTCGCTGTAGTCTCGCAAACGCCTTAATCCGGAACAGTTCTTGAAGTGCACCCACTCTCTGCATCCATTACATCGCACCGAGACAGATCTGTGGTGGATGACGTTCTGACAAACCGAGCAGAACCAAGGTCCGGGGTTTTCCTCAATCCCGGCACGGACCAATAAAATCCGGAGCAAGCATTCCGGGATATGCTGCCCCAATGCAGAAAAATAAACAAACACAAACATGTACATACTGGGTTGGCAGCCGCTGGCCGAAACTGGAATCTTGTTGTTTCGGGTCAATCCGGTATCGTAGAACCCGCTGCCGTGGGATCGACCTTTTGTGGGGGAGGTACTTGATGGAGTGGACCGATATTATCCATTTTTGCACCTGATCTAGAACTGACGTAAATATCAGGATTTGCAAAGTTGGAACAAAATCGGATTATCGATTCTCTTTCTGTGCAGAAAATATATATTTTTTGAAAATCTCGATCATTTGTGTGGGAGGTAGCAGAAGGAGTGGACCGATATATTCCATCTTAACACCAGACCTTGGGTTACATAAAATATTGGGATGTGTGAAATTTGAAGACAATCGGACTATTACATCAATTGTATGAGAGTTTTAATTATTGAAAATATTGACCCTTTGTGGGGGAGGTACCAGAAGGA